ATATATATATTTCAAAAACATGTGAAGTGCGTACTGTTCATTTATCATTGAACTTATCACCAACAAGTCACAGACACCTACTGTAGAAGAATCCTAAGCCCAACAACAACATAGTATATATTTATACAATTAAGGACTATAAGTAAAAGTCTTTTATTTTGATAACTGGTGAAAAAAAATTATATTTTAAAATTCTGATGGCTATATATAATAAAAACAAATCTTCAAGAGATAGAGACTTGTGGTCACTTTTCTTGTTTTTAAACACAAAGCTACACAATATTCTATCTGTGGTCTGCACATCATGGGTATCAAACCTGACTTTCACCATTATAAGCCCCTAGACTTACAGCTGGGAAGGGGCTTTTGACATAAAATTATAATATAAATAAACTGATGTTCCTAGAGTTTTTCAGATAATTAATAACTAACTAAAGGTGCTCAGATAATTAATAACAAATAAAAATACAACCCACAAAATTAGTGAAAAATTTAAAATAGTTTTAAAACATATTCATGTAAAAATAACAATATGCACGGACAATTGGGTAAAAAAAAAAAAAAAAGAGAGAAAGAAGAGGAAGTTCTGTTCAGAAAAGTGTAGAATAAAAAAGGAGAAATGTTAGAAGTATTAGTGAGACATTCTCGTCACTACGTGTCCATCAGTGGAATGCACAAAGTAATCCATAGAAGATAAAGAACAACAGTAAAGATCTGATAACTTTGAAATTTTATAAAAACTTTCTCAGTAAAGTTACTCACCATCAGTCCTAGAAACCAAGATTCTATTGTAACAAAACAACAATACCATGAATCTATTGTAACAAAACAACAATACCATGAATCTATTGTAACAAAACAACAATACCATGAATCTATTGTAACAAAACAACAATACCATGAATCTATTGTAACAAAACAACAATACCATGAATCTATTGGAACAAAATAACAATACCATGAATCTATTGGAACAAAAAAACAATACCATGAATCTATTGGAACAAAACAACAATATATTGTTGTTTTGTTCCAATAGATTCATGGTATTGTTGTTTTGTTTCAATAGATTCATGGCCATGAATCTGTTGTAACAAAACAACAAAACCATGAATCTATTGTAACAAAACAACAATACCATGCCACACTATTCAATACTACTTGTGTGATATCTTACAAATTCCTCATTCCTTTTACATGGAAATACATAACACAGAAACCAAGAATCAAACATTGCCTGGATCTTATTAATAACAAAAGAACCAAATGTCAGTTTTTATTTTAGTAGACATGGTTTAAAGTTCCTAAACTTCTTTTCTGAAAGTCTTTTTTTTTATAAATAAAATTGAACAGAATGCCACACATTTGAAATCCCCTGATAAGGATTATAGATATATTAATTTAGTCTTAATACACAAAATTTGATGTTTATTCCCTCTCTTTGCTTGTCATGCATATCCATGATAATCATGTGCTCAAGTGATCAGTCTTGATAATACTTGTTACACCCCCCAACCCCTCTTTTTATTCTTCACTTTTTTTATGGAAAGCCAGAAAATAGAATCTTAAGAATTTACATTCATTTGTTTTCAATTTTTATCTATTTATCATCAGACTTATTTGCAAAATTTGCTTTAGGATTAATTTTCATGTTCCATTTTTTGTGTGATGGACTCAGCTGACACAATTTTTTAAAGAGTTAAACATATCTAAGATCATAAAGCTCTCTTATTTTTTCTTTTGGCTTACTAGTATGTTATTTTTAAATTTAACCATTATTACCATTTTCATTTTAAACATCTATATAAGTAAAGATTGTGACATTATTACGAATTTATAATTAACATTTATTCAATAGAAGTTATGTGTGTTAAGCTTTAAGAAAAGTTCTTCTTTTGTCACTGTTTATTGAAAAGTATTTTAGTTTTCTTAATTAGGTTTGTAATTACTCAAAGAAGGACTTTCAGCAAGAGCTGGGCAATTTAATCTATTAATCAATATAATCAATCACCTATAGATGAGAGCAGAAGCCTGTCATCCATGAAATGCAAGTCTGAAGACCCAACGAGTGAAGATGATGTGCAAAAGCATACCCGTAAAATTAACAGAACTGTCATGAAGTGGAGCCAAAAAAAGATACAAACCACATAAATTGAAAAAAATACACAGAACTAATGAACTAACAAAAACTTAGAAACATGTAGTCCACAAAGAGCTTAAAAGTAATACATTGCAAAACTAAGAAAATCGACCTAAAACATAGAATGTAGAAGTTGACTCAAAGAAACTATAAGACAAAGGACACAAAAAGAAAACTTACCTTAAAGAACATGAGAATAAAAAGGCACCCAGTTAATAAACACATAAGTTGACTCAAACTTATCCCAAATTAGAAGTGACTAGTAGTAAAAATACAAAAAAAGGAACTTTTAACTAAATAAAATTAACAGTGAAAACTGTAAAATATTAAACCAAATTAATGCAAGAAACAAACTCTAAATGCAAGTGGTAAACTAAAATAACTTAGATGGTAAAAAACATAAAATTGAACTGCCACAAATTGACCAGAGAAGACATGAATGATGTAAATTATCGAGTGCAGAAATTAGATCCATACACTCAAGCTCACATAAACTCAATGAACATCATATATCCATGGGGAGTGAGAAATACACACTGAAAAACTTACCACAGATCACCTGGGAAAATGAACAATACCTATCTTGAAAGGAAAAAATTGCCGGCAGAACATAAGACACAAACTCCCCACAAATGAAAGTCTGTGCTTCCCCAGCAGACACTGTGAAACCTGAGACTGAGGCCTAGTGTCATAACCACTGTCTACATATGGCAGGAAAATTATAAATGAATTCAGAGAATTGCCAATTCAGAAAGCAGGGATTGTGCCACAAGGGTAGAGGGAGCTACCTGCACTAGTATAGAGGGCACAATGGGATTGGTGAAGGATGGTCACATTATCAGCATGTTGCTACAATGACGGAAAAAATAGACTGGCGAGCTTTTAAAATGTTTACCAATGTCTAAAGGGTAAACAAAGGTTGAGATAGTTATGGGGGAAAGGAGGTAGTACTGTTTCAGAATTTTATTTTAACACACCTCTGATTTGAAATCCAAAATAGACAAATGACTAGGAATGTGAAATAAAATCTGCATTTTATGTGATTTTTGTTACAAATGTTAGACCTACTGGTTTCCAATGGATGAAAATGAATTATAAAAGTTTTAGCTTACAGCTCAAAAATTAAGAAAATAAATTACTGTAGTGCTACACCCAAATACTTACTTTTCTCGTTTACGTATGAAAAACAGAGTACGAAGTAACAGTGAATCATGGGGATGAATGGAAGGAAGAAGAGGCTCATGCCATGCTTCGTTTGGTCTTTTGGAATATTCACGAGCTTTTTCAATCAACGGGAGGATGTCTAATGCTCTCAGGTCTAGCTGCTTAAGATCATCTATCCATGTGGCTTGCAATGATTCAGAATCAGCTCGAGAGACTGTCTTAAGTTCACCTCCTAAAAAAACAATATCAATGAAAATTTCAATAATGCATGGGACAGTGACAAAAAGTTGTGAGGACTGAAGTATATATGTATTGAAAACAAAACTCAAAGACTGAAAATTACTCCATCAAAACCTGAAGCCAAACCTTTGTATACATTTAAGCACCTACATATCAGCATGACTTGCACAAAGCACACATACCCGCTGGTTTTACTTCAGTCATAAACCTTTGGGGAAATGGCTGTATTGAAATAAGGTATAATACAGTTTTTTAATGTCATAAATATATTTTTTGATAAATCAGATTCAGATACTGTTCTTTGACACTATCCACAGCTCAACTTTAGATCTTGTGATTAGCATGTAAACAAACCAAATAACTTATCTCACTTTTTGAAAGGATGTAAAAAATCAAAGTCTCCTATTCAACTCTGACTGCACATTTTATTACTTTAAGCTAGGAATTCTATACATACACAGAATGTAAACGTTTTCCTCAAAGTAGGCTTAATTTTGCAATTCCAATTGCCATATATTTTTTTAAATTATAATAAATAATTAAAAACAATGTGTTATATTTACACAATAAAAACGTTATCACGTAGATCATGTCGAAACATGTACTTGTAGAGAGATATTTTAAAGGGGAAGCCGTACAGCTTCAATAAAGTTTTTATTGTGTAAATATAAAACGTTGTTTTAAATTATTTATTATAATTTAAAACATTTTAAACACAAGTGCCGGTAGTGCATATTGCCATATATTTCTTCTTTCAAACATTAAAATAAGGTGAAAACTATTTAGATATTGATATCAAACAAATGGAAGCAATTCCATCAAGTTGTAGTTTATCCCAAAAATTGCTTGTTTTGGTTAACTACTATTGGTTATTCATTATCCTACCTATATCAGTTAATTCTTATTAAAGTTCCACAAAAGTAAAGTATTTCTCTTTAATGACAATTGCATCTTTAACTTTTACAACTATATACAAACATATTGTATGACAAATAGCAATGGCAAACACTGGGTGTAAAAGGGTGCAATAGAACCCCCTAATAATTTTGTTGTACCAAAAAATGTTTTAATGCTATGATTAAAAATGGATTAAATATACAATCAACACGTATTAGTCCTACATTAATGTTGTTGAATTATATATAAATCAAAAAATGTGTTACCCAGTATTATTGCCCTCCTGTCGTAATTTTAGGGCATTGGTCCCCTATTTGCACCTCCAGTAATTTCAAATGTGTCCACCACCACTGATTAGCAAAAATGCAAAGTAATTCCAATAACACTTTAGTTAACAGTACCTATCAAGACTGCTTAAAGTGCACCTGATATTGAGAGAAATATTTATTCCAAATTTGTTCATCTCTTCACATTGCAGTAAAGAACACAAACTGTTTTATAAAAAATATTATGTAATTTTTCCATCAGGTATCCAATATATGTAAACATTATTGTAATTTTGCCAAATAAGCAATCATTAACATATTTAAGAAATATATTTCTGCCTCTCCTCCAATAAGTTGACTATACTTTTTTTTATTTATGTCATGCTGTTCATAATTATTTTTTCTAAATCATGGAATGTTAATAATTTGATAAGATAAACAAATGAGAGTGACATAATCAACATGGCAAAGATCATAAAACACAATAATTAAGGTTTTAATAATCACCTGGTGATAGGTGTAGTCTATCATGTGCATAATGTGAACCTACTATACACTTATCTTAGTTCTCTAAATTTTGTTATTATTATTATGTGGTTAATTAATACAAATAATGCTTACTTTTCTTTCTTTCTAAATGAATAAGCTAAAAATAAGTATCTCAGTATTTAAAAACATTCAGGAACAACATAAAAGCTATGTGCTCTATACTTTGGTTACAAATGCATTTATACTATAAACTACAGTACTGTGACTAGGTTTAAAATCAAACCTGGTGGGTTACATCTGATTAATACCGTGTGCCTGCTGTTAAATATCTGAAATATATACTCAAGTTTTTAATGGAAAAAAACAAAACATATATGGTCCAGCAAGTATAGTAATGGGTAAATAGAAAGTTCTTACTAATTTTGTGTGGAAAAGAAGGTTGTGAGTAATAGATGCAATCAAAAGCATTACATACATAATGTAGATTACCTGTAACATTCCCTGTTACAACAAATCGATACCAATGACCTTGAGCACTTTCAACCATCAGCAAGGTAGTTGGTTCAAATTCGAGACCCGTTTCTTCCAACACTTCTCTCTTAGCAGCATCCTGCAGATTAGAAACACACGCGACTCATGTTAAAGTGTAAATATGTGTCTTGGGCACACTGTCTTAACCAAATAAGAAATTTGTTTCATGAATATATATGACTACCTTACTAAAAATTCCTTAGTGTGAGCTGTACTGTGAGGTTGATACAAGATAAAAACCAGATGAATTTCTCAATTTAGATTCCTTCTCATCACATGCTCCATATTTGTAAAATCACAAAAAAAAAAAGAATCACTGATTGCTTCAAAATATTAAATGTTTTATTAAAGAGAACAAGTATTAATTCACTGCACATGTTCCAAATAAAACTGGTGAAATCAACACCTAATTTTGTACCGAATAAATTAAATGAAACTTATTGTAAAATTTATGAAATATCTACTCGTTGTAAATTTCCTTCAAGTAATATTCATGGTCCCTGAAACAATCATAAACTATAGAGTCCAACATCTTTAAGCAAATGAAATATGTTTCTCTTCATCCACCTCATTCTATAAGATCCCCAGAATACATTAGGTTTCAAGAAAGAATAGTATTCAAGACAAGGGAAGAGGCTATAAAGTACAACATATATACTTCATAAGGATACACACTTAAAACAGTATCAACTTGAGACTTCTCTGTCAGAAGATATATTGGAGCATTTTCATTGTGACCTTATAATACAATAGACAGTCAGTTTCTACATTGTATAATTTATTTACAATGACAAAACTTTGCTGGTAATATTTTGTCTAATAAGACCTATTCTGTAAAAATGGTACAAGTATATACAGTTTCATTTACTGCATGAATAAAAATACATGTAATAACAACCAGACAATGTTTACAGGTTCAGAGCTCTTTATCACATACAATGTGATTTTCTTTTTTTTACTTTAAACCTCTTAAAAGGAAAAGCAAGGCATGTTTCCTGAATCTGTCTGATTCAGCCTATGGGGTCTGTTAAAAGATAACCTTTGAAAAGAGTGGTTAAAATATAAAAGAAATGCAGGTTTAAAGCCTTAACTTAGGAACTTTTTTTTTTACCTTTGACCTCTGTATGCAAGAAAGCATTAATCTCATATACATCAGCTTCAGGCTGTGAGAGTTGTTACAAAATATCTTTGTGTCTACTCTCATTTGAACTGATGAAAATAAAAAGAAACTGCAGGCCAAAATATGTTTTTGTAACGTTAAAACCATAATGGCGATCAAAATAAAAAAAGACATCTGGGCATATTTGACCAAGGTAAGGTATATGCTCTCAAAGTTTCAAAATGGTCAAATCAAAAATAAAGAACTGACAAACAACTGTAATTGATGGGGGAAAAAATGTCTCCCTCCTTAAGGGAGGCATAATTAATGATAACTGGAGACCAAAAAAAAATAAGTAAGCTTAAAGTAACCAACACAGTCAAATGAGCTAGTTAAGTATACCAAATCAAGCCAGTTCCAAAGTATTCTAAGGTACTCCCGCTGTCCATGTAAATGCCAAAATATCCAATGCAGCACACCAGAAAGTTCCAAAAATCCATAATGTTTTAAAAGCATAATTTTTCTGACGTTTATTGGTTCCATACATACTGTATGGGTCATTCCACTTAAATTCAACCTATATATGTCCACACCTCACCGTCTCAAATGTTGCTGATTTTTTGCATATCTGTACCTTGATAAAAACTGTACAAGTTTTGAACATCATACTGAAAGTCAATTATTAAGAAAGATATAATTTTCAAATCACAAATTTCTAAACCTCATGTGAGAATAATTAATTAGTAGAATGTAGTTGTTTAATGAGCCTGACAATTAATCAATTATTGAATTCCACTAATTGTCCAGTTCTAATCTCTTAGTGAGTGTAGCGAGATATGGGACTGGGTGAGAGGGTGAAGCTTCAGCCTACTAGCTTTTTAAAAAATTTTTTTGGATAAAACATTTTGACGAAACTGAATATTTATTACATATTTTTAATTCAAATAGACCTTTATGTATATCAGAGATCTATATGAATTTTGAATTATTTAAAGCAATGGTTCCTAACTACAGGTCTACCGAGATGTTTCAGCAAGTCTGTAAGATAGTTTAAAATATATCTACTGAAGTATATTGTTTTACAATACAATATAAAAGTATTTTAAAAAGTTAACATTGTACAAAGTGGTTCATGAAATTTTGGGATCTGAACTAGCTTGTCCTTATTTGGAAAAGAGAGGGGAATCACTGATCTAAAAGTATATGTGATCTTATGTACATACATCTAAAATGTTAGAATTTAGCCCCACCCCCTATTATTCCACAGCAATACCAATGCTCTTTCAGCCAAACTATTCACCAGATCATGTGACTTCATCACAATATAAACTTGGTTCACAACTACTGTATTCAAATTACGGCTTCCTAACATTGTTTCCAACAGGGGATCTGATCACTTGGAATATGCATAATTCTATAATTTTATTTTAAACTTTTCAGATAGCTATACTTAACAAGTGAATGTAAATATGTTTACATTTTTTGGTCCTGATACAGCACTTGGGTATAGAAGATGAATTAAAATATTCAAAGTTCTACAAACAAGCTACAGACTAAATAAAGTCTTTTAAACATGGATAATCTATGTTTGTAAATATTTTTTTTACCTAAATATAGAGACATTTACTAAGTTTGAATCCAACATAACATAGAGTATCCATGTTACACATTATACAGAATTGTTATTAACATAGCAAAAAATGAGGAAAACTGAGTGCGTGAGACATGGCCCGTAGGTTAAGTTGATGTGGAAAGACTTATCCACGTTTTGGTCCTTTGGGTATAGAATAGGTTTTCAGCAATGAAGACAAATGTGATCAAGATCAAAATTCCATAATAATACTACTTACAAATGTTACACTGAATGCAAAAAACTTTTAATAATTCAAGTTCATATAACAACGTAATGAAGTCCACGACAAGTTTTGAAATAAATAGTCAAGAATTTTGACAATTCAAAATAAAAAATTTAGGAAGACATCTCGGAGAGTTAAAAAAAACTGTAAAACTTAAAATATTTACTTGACTAAACATTTTTACTGATTTTGTTTCAACTTTCCATTCTCACCACAAATTTTGTGAAATTATCAGAACATTAGTGTTAAATTCAGTTGATTACTTGTTTCTTCACTTCATTGTACAATGAATTTAAATTGTTAATTAAACATTTTTAATTTTATTTTTCATTAATGAATCAGTGGACAGTAGAAAAAAAAATTAAATTTTGTTAATTATCTAAGTTTATATGAAAGCTTAAAAAAGGGTTGAAACTGATGTAATTATATCACTAAATACATAATATGTAAAAAACAACTTCTTTTCAGCTTCTTAGTAGTCAAACTAACATGAAATAAGACAATGGCGTGTATTACATTTAAGTAAATAAATACATATACAATTTAAAAAAGCCTTCCTATAAACACAAGTAAAAATAAAGCAATTACAGCATTAGTGGACTACTTATTTATAATGTAGTAGTGCTGTTACTTAAGAAACAATTTATGTGGTTTTGGCAGCGATACAACTGGCATTATTACGTGTACTGGTAACTTTATTTGATGGCACATATACAGTACAATGACACAAATTGGCTTTCTGTAGCACTAATTATGATGCAAATTTTTTTAAGCAAGTCAAAATTCATAACTGCTATATTACCAATGACAATGCATATAAACAAACCATGACAATATGCAGGTAAATTAGCACATTTTGTAACACATATTTTGTATTAAAGTGTTTCATTCCTATTTTGAAGATCATGATAGAGTTGCATAAAAACAAACTGTACTCTTTACCTAGTCAAAGGCTTTTGGTGCTGAAAACTATTAAAATATTAGTATGTCAATACTTCCAAACAGGAAGAAAACTAATCAAATGAATAATCCCAAAAAATATATTTAATTGCAAGAACGTTACTCTGAATTAATTTTAATCCTCACAATAAAGAAGTGATTCTCTCTGGTAATTAGCAAGTAAAATCCATTAACGACCAAAAGGTTGTAGTAGAAGATTTAATTCAAACTTTGTTAACTTATCAACTAGAGAAAGGTTCCTCTTCTAAAATGAATATTTTACAGTATTTATCAAGTTAAGACCATTTTGGTAAGCCTACTAACTGCAGAACTCTGTGTTACATAAACTCGATGAGTGATACATGTGCATAAAAATGGGGTACAAATTCATACATTAAAATGCATCTAATATAAAACATTTAAAAGGTGTAAAAAAAAAACAGTCCCATCTACAATAAAAATGCACAATTTTCAGTGAAAATTACTAAATTGTTCATGCATGCCCCTGGACCTCCCAGTATGGCTTCATCACTCATTTCTTGTTCCCCCAAAAAATTAGTTCCTGCCTTTGTAGATTTCTGCCAGTATTCCTTTGACAGAAATCATTGTAAAATCAGTTTTACTTATACAATTCTCAGTACATTGCCTTTTCATTAATTTGCCTCATATTTAAAAAAAATCACAAATCTGGCCTCTTTTCTATAGGCAGTTAAGTTCTCTGAAGTACTGGATGATCCCTGCTTTACTTAATTGGTTCATTACTATGTTAAACAGTATGTCTATTGCATGTTAAACTGTATGAATTTGTAAATGTAAAACAGATGAAACTATGACTAGATTTATTTTGATATTCCTATTAGTAAATTGTAAGCAAGCACTTGTCCAAGTAAGAATTTTAAGATTAATCACTTTATACCTCTCCTATGTAAAAACCATCCAATTAAAATGCCCTATGTGAACTTAAAATTCCAATATAACATTTGGGCAAATGGGGACCAATGGGTCCATCAAAGCAACAATCCCAAAAAGCATTTTTTTTGTAAGTGCCTTAAGCCTGTAAACAAAACTCCCACTCCTAAATGTAATAATGTGGACTGCATCTGTCTATGATGTAATCGGCATACATTATATCCCAACAAGCATGCTCGTCCTTTTTGACATGGGGGCGTTATAACATGATGGTCGATCCTGCTATTTGTTGGTAAAAGAGTGGCCTAAGAGTTGGCATTGGGTGGTGATGACTAGCTGCCTTCCCTCGTATAGCTTTGTGCAAAATTAAAAAAACAAAAACAGATTACATCCCTCCACCAATAAGAGGACAACACATAATTCATGCACAGTACACCCCTTGTGCTAAATTCATATGTGCATATATATACATATATATATATATATATATATATATATTATTATTTTTTTCTATTACAAATTCTATATAAATAAAATGGTAATTGCTCACAAGAATATCTTCTCCAGGCTCCATTCTGCCTGCAGGGAGATACCATGTCCCAGCACAAGAACGTTTAGCTTCTTGCATCATCAAAACTTCATCATTTTCATTCACAAGAACAACAGCAACAATGTATGTTACAGACTTTTTTATTACAGGCTTATAATCTGACACAGAAGATTCCACTCCTTTTGCAGCTGGAATTAATTGAAATCGTTGAATATTCTCATGGAAAATGCATTGTACATGTACTTTTAAAACATATACAAACAATCAACTTCGTAATAGTAAAAGATGTATATATTTTTTTTAATTCTTAAACATTTCTATATCAATATACAGTATCAAGTAAAAGCAAAACACGTTTTACAATTATTACTATATTTATAAATTTACAATATCAATCTTATGAGACAAAACAACAATTTCTTTGTGATCATTCTATAGTTACAGTTAAGTAAGCAAAGATATTTATTTTTCGAAATATTGTATCTATTTTTCACTATTTTAATTACTTGGATAATTACACTGTCACCAACCACTAGATCACAAACATACACACACACACACATATATACACCATACAACAAGTGCATGGAATTGATGGGAACAAACTCAATATAGTGGACTAAAGAAAAGGATCTTTGTATAGTGGTGGATAAGACAAATTAAGCTCCACTTAAGACAGTTTAAGTTTTCTAAAGGGGTGGCTGACTAAAGGAATAAAGTTTCATCAGCCATCGTGGAGACCAGCACTATGTAGGAGTTTAAAGAGGGGCATTAATGATTTCCCAAAAATTAGAGGGTGTGCTTAAATATGTAATTTTTCAAGGGGTTGGTGTGCTAAGACAGCTTTGAATGACCAAATAATTTCTTGTTGTGTATAGGTTGTTATACATGGTGTTAGAAATTATTAAACATTAGTATTTGATTTGTTTTATTGCACTGTAGAAAAATAACTACTGGATGAAATAGTTTAAAATTTCAAGATTACTTTTTACAGGTTATGTCACTTCTGTAAGTAAAATACTATTTTTATATCATATCTATATATTTTTTATTTTTCTATAAGATCAACTCTTACCTTTGTTATTTCAAGAGAAAACAAGTTAATAGATCATAATCTATCCCTGTAAGGTAATCCTTCTATTGTTGGAATCATCCTGGTAGCTTTCCTCTAAACCTTTTCCAATAAGACAATATATCCTTTCTTAGATAAGAAAACCAAAGCTGTACACAGTAATGCAAGTGAGGCCCAACTAGTGAATTATACAGAGATAATTAATTTATGACTTGTAATCAATAGGTATATAATAATATAAATACACCCTAATATTCTATTAGCTTTACTGTCAGCAATAGAGCACTGCCTCAATGGCTTGAGCAACTTACTCACCACCATGCCAAGATTCTTTTCTTCAGTCCCACTACTACTGAATAGATTCCCATATATATTAAGCATGTGATCCAAATTATAAGAATCCAAAATGCACTACCTTGAGCTTAATATATAAACTCAGTAAGTGATCTCAAATTTATTAAAAATGATATAATATATTTATTAAAAATTATAATCTTGATGTATTTGTATTCTGAAAAAACTTGCCTGATTTATGAAAAATAATTTGAATAAGCACGTAGAAGAGTAAAAAAAAATATTTGCGAGACCTTTGTAAACCTGACAACTATTGCAGTACTACTATTAGCACACTTTTTATGGATAAATGCAGAAACTTTAATTTTGGAAATGAAAATAATAATTTTATAATATGTCCTGGGGTTGTAAACAAAAATTACTCTCTTGCTATGCATTTAATCTTATTCACCAATATATATATATTCTTTAAAAAAATTAAAATCTTTTGTCTACATTTGTCTTCAGTTTGACACTATAAATCCATACAATTTTTCACAAGTGGCATTTTAGATGAAAATGATTTCTCATTTTACAACATTCACCACATAGCAATTTGACATGAATGTGGTGCCATCTATCTATAAAATTGTGTACTATACAACAAGTAGGACCTTATGCAAGAAAAGCAAGGATAACGTCATGGACAAACCAATGTAATATCGGAAACATTCAAATCTTACTCAGTTAGTAAGTAATACTTGAGAAAATTCAAAATTATTATGATTTTATGTTTTGGGTAAAAATGTTTAAGAACTCCATTTTTTCCAAGTAAATGGGTTTCTACAACTCAAAACATTTATTTGCTTGCAGAAACACTGTAATAGTTGGCTGCTTGGTTACAATAATCAAATTGACCAGATGCTCTGTATCTATGATTTTAGTTTAAACATACTTCTTAAATTTCAAATTCCTATAAACAGAATCAAGAACTATTTGTTCTCTTCACAATAGCTCAAAACTCATGAAAGATTTATAGATTTATCAACAATCACACCTAAATACTTTATTTTGTCTATAACTGCAATGTTGACCTCATCCAAGGAATACATCCTTTCTAAATGCCAATACCCCAAGTTCACAGCTCCATACTTCTCAACATCATGGATTTATAAATTTGGGGTATTGACATTTAGAAAGAACCTAAAATTTATCTTCCACATTTTGGCTCATTCCCCAAGACAGTCAAGTTATTTTTGGATAAAAGAAGCATTCTCACTTGCTGAAACCACACTTGCTAGCACTTAGTAGCAAATTTGTAAATGTTAGTATCCATCAAATAAATTGTAAAGTAAAACATAAAAAGCTCATTAAAAATGATTTATAAAGATACATGGGATAAGTTAGCTTATTACACAGAAAAGTGGCTGGATGAGAAAAAATTGCAGAGGGTTATTATAAATGAAGTTCACTCAAACTAGATTAATGTCACAACTGAGTGGGATACCTCAAGACTCAGGGTTAGAATCTTTGCTCTTTTTGATTTACAATAATGACCCAGATGAAGGGTTGGTTAATAAATCATTTAAATTTGCTGATGATGTTAAGGTCTTGGGAGTTGCTAGCTGTGAGGAGGATTCTGCTTCTTTAGAAAGAGATTTGGTTTATTTGGAAAGCTGGGTGAATAAATAGCAGATTGCTTTTAATCACGACAAATGCAAGGCAGTGCATGTGCATTACCATAACTTAGATGGGAAATAATTTTACCAGTGTTATGGAAGAAAAGGATCTTGGTGTTTTCATAATGTAAAATGATACATTTATTTTTTTTTACACTTACTGATTTCAAACAGATTTATTTTTACTTTACAAGAATCTTTCATTACACAATAACTGAACCAATTTTATCATTACATGGAAAATTCTGAAAATATTAGATAGATTTAATATATAACAATAAATTTCTTGAACTACTAGTAGCAGCTTACAGTATTAAATTTAATCAATTCATTATGTATTCTAGTTATTTATAACATTAAACATTAGTATTTTGGCTGCATGAAAGAAATCATAAAATACACTAAACTGAGACATGTGCTAAGAATGAAGCCAGAACATCTGGTAAGGAAGGTAAGTCATTAGGCTGTTGAATGTTACAGAAATTTTATTGTTAGACATCTAATGTATAACAACCCAAGATGGTAGATCTCAACAGGATACTAACGGTGAGAATCCTAGGTAATGACTGACATTTTGGTAATCTAATTAGGTTAAAAACAATCATGTTTCCAACAGCATATACAGTATTCTCTGTGGAGATTATGCAATTATTTTTATTTTATTTGTACAGAGTATTTTTGTGTTTAACAATTTGGAGAAAATAATAGTTTAATTATATTTTTAAACACTGACTTGGAAATAGTGAGTAGACTGGAATAACAACACTGAAAGCTTAAGAACACCCAAGGAACTGCAAGGGAATAAGACAAAGTTACTTGTGCTAAGATGTGAAATTCTCAACTTCATGAAATTGATAATGGTATATCCTATTAAAAACAAAAAAGTATCAAAATGACCCTTAAAAAGAAATGAAGAAATTGTATCCTTTTTTTTATTTTCATATTATCACCAAATCATTTAAACACAACAACTATATCTGATATATTTTTTCTTTAATAGAAACATGATTGAGTGTCATCATGGATAATACACTATTTTTCCCACAAACCTCATGATGGCAAAACACTGCAAAATATTTTTGGTACCACAAACCAACTGTTCTATGACAAAATGTCCTTAGCCTCAGTGTTTTTGTTTTTTTAATGCCCCACTGATTTTCATTACATACTTTTTACTGTTTACAAAATAAACCCACAAAAATGATCAAACCAAATACCATATGGTACACACACTACTCAAGTTATTGATATGCCACAGCTTATGAGACATGCCTTAGACACCACTTCACATTTTGAAAGCTTAGTGGTTTTGATATTTTTTCCTGAGAACCAGATGATCTAGAACAGTTAATACAGTTTCAAAGAGGCACCGGGAAAAATATCATAGATCAAGTGCTTACAAACCCCAAAAATTTTATTCACTTTCTATAATTTTAATCCAAAATGACAAAACCCTAAAAAGTCTAATAGCTGCTCCTACGTTAAAATTGTTTAAGCAAACAGTTACATCTACAATGGTTTCTTCAGATATTTAAGTCTATTTAAATGACAATACGTTGTTGTTTCTTAACTCATCTGTGACTTTCTCACTAAGGTATTAATCCTTTATTACTTACTGCCTAGATGTATAAACCTACTCACTATTGCCTGAATAAATTAACCTTTTTTAGTAACAGTGGGATGTAATAACCAATAGTCCCTGGACATATTTAAGTCATTCAAAAGTACTTGATTGCATTAACACTTTTCTGTATTATTTAAAGGCATCACAACTATCTAAATGTACTAATCAATTTCTTTATGTATGGAGTTTCATTACTGTCTAAGTGTATTAACCCTTTCATTACTATACATATGTATCAGCAATCCCCTTTAATGTCCAAAGTTACTGAGTTTCACTACCATCTACATGTATCAGCAATCCCTTTTATTGTCTGAATTAATTGAGTTTCACCACTGTCTATGTGTGTTAGCCTTTTCACTACTTTCCATATGTATCAGAATCCCTTTTATGTCCATATTTATCGAGTTTTACTCCTGTCCAAGTGTATTAACCCTTTCACCACTGTCCTTTTTAATATCTGAATGTAATGACATTTTCACCACTACCTAGATATATATACACACACACCCTTCCATTTGTGTTTGAATGTATTAACATTTTAATTAAGTCTAGATACATTAATCACATTGTTACTACCCAAATATAGTAACTCATTCATTTCAACCTGAATGTACTCTTCCTTTCATTATTACTAAGCTGTATTTAGCCTCTCAATGTTTGCATATATCAACACTTTTTCTGAGACCTACATGTATCAGTGTCTTAACCCCTGTCTTGATGTTTTTATCCTTTCAAAACTGTACATTTATTAACCATCTTTCCACTGAATCGATGTACTCACACTTACTATTGCTCGGATGTATTAAGCTCTCCAAAACTTTTTGAATTCAATAACTGTTTTATACATGTGTACAATGTACTGACATTTACACTACCACCTTGATGCGCTGAACCTTCCATTTCCAGCTTGGCTACTACCTTAATATGTTAAAAGCCCTTGAATCTATGAATCAACTTTTTCACCGGCCTAGACATATTACACATCCTAAAATGCAAAAGGCTTACAGCAAAGTTGATTCTATTAACTAGAAAAAAGAAAAGGAAGTCAATTACTTACTGTAGTACATTGCACATTAATATTCTCATCAAATAAGTAACGGTCTACATTTTGTACACTTACCTTAATGTTCAGAAATATTATTTTTCGTTCTTCTTCTTTCAGTGCGCTTTTCAGTGGTCTCATAAAATGCTGTTTTAAAACATAATTCACTCATTACAAAGCAAACATTGGACTGCACAAATAACTTAAATACTCAAATTGTTTGCCAAAATTATATATTATCTCAGATTCTAAAAACCATGGAATAAAAGCAACTCTGTCTATGATAAATCTTACAGGAATATTGAAAGAGATTACTAAAGCTATCTTAGTATAACTGTAAAATATTTTATTTTTGTTTAAAAGGGTCAAACAGGTTGTATCATAAGACAAAGTATCCTCAATTTAACTTCAATCTAAAAAAAAAAACATAGATACTTAATGCTTTCCTAATTTTAAAACTTTAAAGTGAGAAATGCATTTCTTCAACAAAAATTTAAGACCACAGTAGTGTACTGGTATTTTCATAATACTTAACAAAAGCATCCATGTACTGAAAAATGTAACAAATCTACTATTTTCAATCCAATTCTAATATCTAACTTCATCTTAACTAATAACTAGATAAAATTCAAAATGGTAAACTGGTTATTCGGTTAGCTCAAGTTAGAGAGAGCTTATGT